AGCCCAGGAGTTGGAGGTTGCTGTGAACTGTGACTTCACAGCACTCTACCAAGGGCAATAAAGTGAGACTCTGTCTCTTAAAAAAAGAAAGAAAGAAAAGAAAAAGAAAATTGGCTCCGTGCCCATAAGCACAGTGATTAAGGCATCAGGCACATACATTGAGGCTGGTGGGTTCCAACCTGGCATGGGCCTGTTAAACAACAATGACAACTACAACAATGACAACTAAAACAAAAAATAGCCAGGCGTCATGGTGGGCGCCTGTAGTCCCAGCTACTTGGGAGGCTGAGGCAAGAGAATCTCTTGAGCCCAAGAGTTTGAGGTTGCTGTGAGCTGTGACACCATGGCAGTCTACCCAGGGTGACAGCTTGAGACTCTGTCTCCAAAAAAGAAAGAAAGCAGGATATTGGTTATCCTTAAGGGGGTGGGGAGTAATTTCTGGGTCCTCCTAGGAGCCAATAATTTTTTTATTTTCAGATAGAGTCCTGCTCTGTCATCCAGGCTAGAGTACAGTTGCATGATCATACCTCACTGCAGCCTTGAACCCCTAGACTCAAGCAATCCTCCTGCCTTAGCTTCTGACTCCGTGGGACTACAGATACACAACACTGCTTTTTCTTTCTTTCTTTCTTTTTCTTAATATCCCAAAGTGTTGGAATTACAGGTGTGAGCAACCACGCCTGGCCACAAACTGTTCTGTGCAAGTTATTTGTTGCTATGTGTGAGTACTATTTTGCTAAAAAATGTTTCCAAATATGCGGCCCCCACAAGATTTATGAATTTGCCTTCACTCTCCCATAAACCATTTCTCAATCTCAAGCCACTAGGGGGAAGTATGTTGTAATTAACAGCTTGAAGTCAAACACCCTTGGATTAAAATTCCAGCCTTCTCACAGATAACAATTATCAACTCTGGAGAAGATAGACAACAATTACTTAAAGGCATTGGAAGATAAAAAGCAGGCTGGAAACGGGAGGGGAAATGACACTCAGAAAAAGGAAAGACACAAATGAGTTTCTCATTTGTACAGTGTTTAGAATGGGGACAAATTCTATTGGGTGCCGTGAGGGGCAGCTAAAACACTAGAGGAAAATCCAGTCTTCCTAACTTGAATAACTATAGCAACAGAAAAGTGAGGTGATAAATCCTGGAAAGGAGAGCCAGGCATGATATTCCAAATTTTTTTTTTTTTTTTTTT